ACAAAAAGAGGTTCTTTCTCAAAAAGAAACTGATTCTCACCTTCAATTTCCAATTTAAACCCTAATCTTGGACTTGCCTACTTTCTCTGATCCTTCCTGGTCACTGGGCACTCTCCAAAGGTCATGCAATCCTTGGGCAGCAACTAAAGACTCCAGGCTCCAGCAACCTCCAAGAACAAGGAAATGATGCAGAACTTCCAGTCCTAGAAAGTTCTCATGCAGCCAACTGGATTAGGCTCACATGAGAACCCCAATCTGTCCTAGGTTGGCTCTGATACCAACTTGGATAAAAGAAACCTGAAACTATTTGTTTTCTGATATAAGGTCAGTAGAAGAATCAGAGAAAAGAAGATCACAAACAGAAGAAGAAAGAGAAGAAGAAGAAGAGAAGGAGAAAAGGGTGTGGTTCTAATGATCTTGCCGCCCCATCAGATTGGTATTTATATGTTTTGACTTAACATTAGTGGAGTTACATTAATAACCCTGCTGAAATAGAAATAAATATAAAATAACTATATCTGGCCTAACTACCATAACTACCATGAAATAAATATAAAGATGATATCAGTGGGACCACACACTAACAACTAACACCTATCTCTACAGTTTCATTTATCCTTTTTTTCAATCAATAAAGAGAAGTTATTAAAAGAAAAGAATCAAGAGACTACAGTTGGGAAAATCATAAGAACATGGCAAGTTTAGGAGTGTCTCCCTCTGGTCTTTGTAGTTCCCCCCGCCCTTCCAATGTAGCTGGTTCCTCAAACAACTGCATTCCCAAATAAACTCTCTTTACTCTCACCCTCCCCTATCACTTGCCTGCTCACTATATTCAATAATCTCAGTGGCATACTGTGACATGCTGCAGAATATGTTATCAAGAGACTTTTTTGGGTAGAAATTATCAAGAAACTCACCAACAAGGCAGTTAGCATAAATAAAATTCAAATAATCAGTACCTTCACTTGGAGGCAACATATTTCCAAAGGCTATGAAAAACTAAAGAGCTACAAAATCATTGAAGTTTGTAGAACCAGTTGACCCTGAAAAGACATCTTAGAAATCATTATTTCATCTCTTCATGTATGCCACCCATAGGTTTCCCACCTTTGGAGTTCTCCACCATTTAATCCATGTGACACCCTTGGACCACTTCAAAGTACTATTAGAAAAACGTCATTACCCAATGGGCAGAAGTGATATTGTGGTACATACATTTAGTTTGCAGATGCAAGGTTAAAAGCATCGATACGATACGAGTTTCGGTCGTATCGTATCGGTACTTAGAAATGGCCGAAACTTTATTTTTTTTTAGTTTTTTTTTACATTTTGGTTTTTTGGAAAGCTTTTAACATGTTTTTTATTATTACAAAAAATGGAGGTCCGAAACACCTGGAAACAGGCGTTTCGGACCGTATCTTTTTCAAAAGATACGATATGATACGCCCCGTATCGGGCGTATCGTATCGATACTTTGAACCATGTGCAGATGATATTATATTATTCTGTGGGGGCATAGGGGAGGAAGAAGTCATGAATTTTAAGATGTCAATGACACTCTTTGAGAGAATTTCAAATCTCAAGATCAATTTTGATAAGAGTTATTGCAGGAGAGAATTTGGAGCATGGTAAGTTTTAAGAGGATTGCATCATTGATGGGTTGTGCTAGGACAAAGTGGCCTTTTAGATACCTAGGTCTTCAGTTAAGTGGAAATCACAAATCCCACCTTTTTCTGGACTAAGAAACTGGCAACGTAAAAGAAAAATTACATTGCCTTAGGGGGTAGGATCACCTTGATCAAATCAACCTTGGCCAACCTACTTGCCAACAAATTGTTGCATAATTTGGAGCATCCATGAAGCAGACTCAAATGGGTGGGATGCTGGATTAAATGTGAGATCAACTCTCTCTCTAGTCCCTAGAAAGCCATTGCCTGTTGGTCACATCCTCTTTCTCAAGCACATCAAATATGATTTATGTTTTGGGGACAGAATAACATTTTGGACAAATCTGTGGTAGGACACTCAACATTTGAAAGATAGCTTTCCTGACCTTTAGCTTTATGTTTTTCCCTTTTCAAATCAAAAGCTGTTTCTACATTTGTGTCCCCATCCAACTCATGTTTGAACTAGGACTTTGGTTTCAGGAGAGGCTTAAGAGTTTCCAAGATTTCTTCTTTGGTTGGCTTGCTTTTTATCCAAGGTGTTCCTTGATACTTTTAAGCTTGGTTGGAGAGTTGGACACCTTACTCCTTCAGAGAGCTTTTCATGTGCTTCTTTCTTTCTTGTCCTTTCTCCATCACCCAACCCTACTAGGACTTCTCTTGTCTATGAGGTCTAGTATAGTCTGGTGCCACCTAACGTGATTGCTTTTTGTTGGGAAGCTTCTCATTAAAAAATTAATACTTGCAAGACCCTAAAGAGGAGAAGATTCAATTGATGCATCTTTCCACATGTGTTTTTCCTTTGTAAAGCCAACGGGGAAGCTTCTTACCATCATAAGTAGACCCCTTCGAGTAATGTGGAAAGCTTATTCAGCCCATCTTTCTTCAAGGCTCTTAGAGAGGCAATATGCTTTGGGGGTGCACAAGGGCAGCCACCCTTTAGAATAGTTGAGAACAAAAGAAGAGTAGGATTTTTAATGGCAATAAGAGAGCAAGAATTCCATCATCCAATGCCACTCAATTAGAGTATCTTATTGGGTGCATGAGACAAAACTTTTCCACAACTTTACTCTAGATGATATCATAAGAGGGTGGTAGTAGGTAATCAATTCCTCCTTAGCCACCAGCATTGCTACAAGAAGGTGTGTACCTCCTTAATTGAAGACTTTTAAGCTGAATTGAAGACTTTCAAGTATTGGGTCCCTATTTAGGGATTGGAATGGAGTAGTTACAGCCATATTACTGGCCCAACTGGACACATAAGCTCTACAAAAGCAACGTTGTCAGCAGCTGTACAGGATCTGAAATTGGCAAAAAAAAATCCTAAAATGCGGGAACTTGGAACTTGGAAGTGGAAGGAGATTCAGAAGTAGTGATGACTGACCAGATGCTAAGGCAAATGGATTTAGTGTTGCAGTACAGGGACATGGTGAAAGACATAAAGTTATTACGCATGGATATCAATACCAAGAACAGGTGCAAAAATAAGCAAATGTTTTGGCTGATGCATTGGCAAACAGGGATTTAACAGAGAGCATTTCTTTTGGGCCTATTGTAGCATATTTGGATAGTAGAGTTGTGACTTAGGCAATTTGTTGACCTGGATACCTCTTGTAATTATGATTCCTTTTCATATCTAATAAACCTTCAAGTTATCTAGCAAAAAAAAAATGGTGGAAAAGTTCTTTTATTTGTTCTGCGTCAATAGCCCCTTCTAGCTCTCCAGAAAAGGTCAGAAACTACAAGGGTCCCATTGTTGAATAGGCTCCTTTAGAAAGCCATATCAGTAAATTCCCGACCCAAAAATAAACAGATAAGTAAAACCAAAAGAGTAGTTCTACACCAAAAACAAAATGGCTGGAACATGAAATGAAAACATCTTTTAGAAGAGGCTTTCCACAAACAAGCCTGATGGCCTTGATCATAGCAAACCTTATCAACAGCATAGGCAACAGAAGTCCTCATAATTGAATGAAAGATCCCTTCAGACCCCAATTCCAGAGGGTTGTACCAGCCTACTGAAATCCCAAACAAGAGGACACCATACTTGATAGAAATGATTCTTCTCCAAAGCTCAGATTCATGTAGAAATATTAATGCTTTGAAACATCCTACTGCACATTCCCCAAAACCCTCTATGGTCTTACACAACATGTTCCATTTCAGTAGATGATAGGGGATGTACCTTCTTCCAAGTGGCATGTTCCTCCTCAGTCTCCACCCCTTAATTCCAAAAAGTAAAAAAAAAAAAAAATATATATATATATATATATATCTCTTTTATCAAGAACATAAATGCTGAAAACCAAATAAATTTTGATCTAGAGGAGGCAGCAAGCTGCAATAAGAACTTAGCAGCTTATATGCTTCACACTCAACACCAAGTGCCTCTTCTAGTCACAAAGTTGTGTCCCTGTAATGTCAACTCAGAGCTACAATACCTCGAAAAAGAGCATGGGCTAAATCTATATCAAGGTCAACTTCACACATCAGGAAAACCAGGCCCAATAGGGATTCTGAATGCCTTGGTATCAAAAGCACAATGGTATATTTCCATACACTAACTAACAGCAATCCAGATAAGCAGGCTGGAAAGCGAAGATGGAATTGGTGTTTTAATATAATAAAAAATACAACAACAAAGTGCAAGGGTTTCCTAGAGCTTGAGGTACAAAGCAAGGCATGTGCCTGAACAAACACCAGTTTTGGGGAAACCTAAATTCTTAAAGAAATTATGTATTTCAAAAAATTGATTAGAGCGTCATCTTATTGGCACAAAAGTCATAGCCTTGTACATTGCCCACCTAGGTTCAAGTGAGGCGCACCCAATAAAATGAGCCTCATCTGTGACTACGAGCCCAAAACACGCAAAGATAGAGGTTCATAACATGATACAAGTAAATCAACAAACAGATGGAACGCTTCATAGCATCTAATTCACTTTATTTAAGGATATCCAGATGCAAGTCTCCCTCCCTCTGTCTCTCTCTCCTGTAACTTTTTTTTTTTTTTTGCATTTGCGTTCCTTTTTTTTTTCTTTTTGTTTCATTTTTGTTATTTCTCGAACGACAGTTGAAACTTTCCAATTAAATAACTCTTCCAAGAAGGCTAACAAAAGCTACCAACTGACAATCTTCTCTATGAACCTCCTTAAGATAATGCAAATGGAGAGATCCATTTCTTGTTTAAATTCCACCTCAAAAACGCTAGCCCGCGTTTCCAATCGAAGATATATATACAATACAAATCACATAAACATAAAAAACAAAAAAACAAAAAAAAAAAATCCAGATAAAGAACGAAGAAATCTCAAGAAACCCTAAAGACAGAACACACCTCTCGCATGCGTCTTCAAGGGAAGAGAAAGGGCGCTTAATGTCGGGATGGCAGACACGCCAGGCGTCCTGGTAGGCCATTTCGAGCTCCGCCTGATGCCCCTGTCGATTAACCTTCTGTTGTTGCTGTTGTTGCTGCTGCTGATGAAGCTGATTTTGTTGTTGCTGCTGATGAAGCTGATTTTGTTGTTGCTGCTGATGAAGCTGATTCTGTTGTTGCTGCTGATGAAGCTGATTCTGTTGTTGCTGCTGCTGTTGCTGTTGATTTTGTTGTTGTTGCTGCTGCTGCTGTTGGTTAGGGATTTGTTGCTGGTGAATAGGGCTAGGATTAGGGTTCTGATGTTGTTGTTGTTGCTGTTGTTGTTGTTGCTGCTGTTGTTGAAGATTTATCGAACGGTGAATGCCTGGAGGTCGTAAATGGGCGTCGATGTTGGAAGGGAAACGAGCGATCGCTTGTTGCTGCTGCTGTTGATGTTGCTGCTGTTTGTATTGTTGTAAGAGAAGGAGCTGTTGTTGGTGCTGCTGCAGCAACAGCTGCTGCTGATGCTGAGCCAAGGCGTTCGCCTCTTCCATCTCTCTCTGTTTCTCTCTGGCCGGAGCCGGATTGGGATTGGTGTTCGATGTTTGAACTGACGTTGAATTTTTCGCCTGTGCCATCAATTCTGGCCATTAAGGTTAAACTTGAAACTGGAGATTACAACGGATCCGGAATTCCGGTTCAGTACGGGGTTTCTACCAAATTGGATCGGATTCAAAGGAACATCGCCCCGAATGCTGGGCCAGCCCCCAACTACTCCATCGAATTCGAAAGGGGGCTTCAAGCCTTCAATTGGAGTGTCAACTGTTAAGATTGCGTAGGAACCATCTAGCTGGAGACATGGTTTTCGAACCACTGTTGACCCGGACGGTCGGACCGTTCGGCCCAGGAACCATCTAGCCAACCAGTTCCGCTTTATTGCAAACCTAGTTCCTAGTCAAAAACTTTTGAATCGGTCGATGACTTGTTGACCTAGGTGGTCGAACCGTTGACTCATTCAATGGTTTCTGGTCATTTTAAAATTTTAATTATTTTTATTTCTTTAATTTATTTTATTAGAACGGGCCATCTATTCGAACCGCATGATCAAACCATCAACCCAAAAACCGGTGGCTAAAACGGTTCCAGTTTCAGATCGTTTTTTAAAACATTGGTTGTAACCATATAAAACCATCTTACACCATACATCTAGAACAATTTGTCGGGCCAGTTGTATGGCCAATGGTATTGTAGGAAAACTAGAGAATCCAGATTTGCTTAACGCAGACATCTCACACCATACTTTGATTTAACACAATGTTTGTAGCATCTTCCCTCCCCAATTAAATTCCTCTTTTCCTCTTAAATCTCTTTTAACATCTTTTTACTTTATTGAAGCAGGGGTGTTAATTAGATGGATTAGGTTAGGTTAACGGTCAATCTAAATATTAACCTTAGCTCTTACCCAAACTAATGTCACAACCCAATTTTGCCCACCAATACATTGGGTGAACCAATTTTTTTCTTATATAAAAGTCTAAAGAAGAATAAGTCTAAACTAGGAATGGCAATAGGGTGGATTCGGGGTGAGGATCATACTCCCCGTCCCCACTCCCGATTCTGAAATTAACCCCCATCCCCGTCCCCGATCCCTATCGAGGATAAAATTTGTCTTCCATTTCCGATCCCCGACAAGGATGGGTTCCCCACAAGGACCTGAATTCCTGAAATTTTGTAGATAATATTATTTATTGAAAAATAAATAAAAATTTTAAATTATAAATAATGTTCTAAATATATTTTGATATATATAAAAATAATATAAAACACTTAAATATATAAATATAAATATATAATCAGGGTCAAGGCGGGGTGGGGACCTCAATCCCCACCCTCGACCTTGACCCCGATTGGGGATTCATATTAATCCTGTCCCCGTCCCCGCCTCGCCAAAACAATCCCCATCCCTGACCCCATCGGGTCGGGGAAGTCAGGTCCCCGTCGGGGATGGGGAAAATTTCCATCCCTAGTATGAACTTATTTTTTTAACTTGATTATTGATTTCATATTAAGCACATTTTTTGGCTATATAAAAATGAATAAATTGAAGCTCAATAACTAAAAAGGAAAAGAGAAATATTTATATGTAAAGAACTAGAAAAATATAAAACTTCAGCAAAGCATTATGTGCTCGTATTGGCCATGAAACGCAAGGATGTAGAATTCAATATCGTCTCTGATAAGGGGTGATTTGGCCCGACCTCATAATTGGGTGACACGTGTACGTGATTCGACATAAACGACAACTTGACATGAGCAGGTCGGCACGTGGACATGGCTCAACGCAGGTGACAACTCAGCAAGTATCAGTTCGCTACAGAACGAGCTCGAATACACTAATGTCCTGAGCTAAAGGTACTTCGGGTTGAGTTCATCCCAGTTCGCGAATTAAAACAACAGCACCAAGCACTCAGCAGTCCGAACCCGAGCAAGTGGGCCACCTTGAAGACGACTTGCCTCGGGCAGAATCACCTTGGTACACCACCAGTACCTGCCAACCTTGACAGGACCGTACTTGCCAACCCTGAAGACTGCACCCACGTCCCTTGTCTGGCGGCACATTATCTGCCAACTCTGAGAGCTACACTCATGTCTATCGCCTAGCGGCATCGTGCCTGCCAACCCCGGAGGTTGTCTCCTGCCTGGCGGGACCGTACCCTACAACAGTCGCATTAGCCCACCTGCTCCCCAGTCCTGACGATAACAGCCAGTCACTCCGGAACATTACCTGACAACAGATCGTCGCGACAGAGATTCGGGATCAATCCCACCAAACTTGTCAGGATGCCAATATATAAAGACTTCAACCCCCCCCCCCCCAGGGGCCAAGGTATCGCATAATCATCACTCTCTAGCTTTCCCATCTTCGTGCAAACTTGTTCTCTTCCAACTCGCAACCGAGTACTAACTTAAGCATCGGAGTTCTCCCACTGGGTGAGTAACCCCGGGTTCCCTCATCTCTCTTCACGCAGGTATCTCTTGCCCATCGCCAGCTAGGAGCTTAGTCACTTCCAGCTAGGAGTGGCCGGATTACGCATCATCAATTGGTGTCGTCTGTGGGAAGCACTACAAAAAGCCTTCTCTACCAAACTTTCTCCAGCATCAATGGCATCTTCTAGCAACGCGGGGCAGAACAATGAAATGAACACTCCTAGGGGGCAACTTCAGGTTCCCACTGTGTGTATCGGTCAGTTTACTGTACCTCTTAGCACTTTTGGGGTCCCCACGCTGAACCTCTCCCTGGCCACCGAGGCGGTGAACACCCCACTCCCACCAGCGGTGAACACCACCTTCACTGAACCCTCTGTGGTTCCGCCTGCAGTGGGGCAAACACCAGCTGGGTGACCTGGTACAGTGCGTATGGGCCATTCAAGCCCAGATGCAGCAAGTCTAGCAGCTTCAGCACTACCAGCAGCAAGTCATGTGTCATTTATACCAGCAGTAGTTCCCAACGCTGCAGCAAAGCTGACAGCCAGCTCCACCGCGGTGCCCAATAACGCCACATAACCAGCAGCCACTCAACCGCCGCCGAAGTAGCCGCCCTCCTCACAGAGGAGAGACCTCCCAAGCCTCATCCCGTAGCAAGAGAGAGCCAGCAGCTCCCATTGCCTCGTGACAACAAGGCGGATCCGAAGACATTCGCCCCGCCAAGGCCGGTCCACCCCAGCACGCGCAATCGGAAACCTCACTGACAGGCAACCGATTCAAAGTCCTGGTCGCGAGCTCTGAACAAGATCCTTCGGTTCGCGGAAGCCAGTATCAGCCTGATTCTCACCAGGCCAAGACCCGGCCTGACAGTACTAAAGCAAGTAGCACCAACATGGATCCCTCCAAGAAGCAGTGTGTTGCTTTCTCCACGACCTTCAGAGGAGTAGCGCGCACGTGGTATAGAAACCTCCCATCCAGAACAATCCAGAGTTGGGCGCAGTTCATACAAGCATTCACCTCGCATTTCATTACTAGCAAGAAGTGTCTGAGGTCGCAGGAAAGCCTTCTTAGCATAGTCCAAAAAGAGGGAGAGCCTATCCGGAGCTACATCAAGCGCTTCAATGACACCTGCCTTCTGATCCCGGACCTAGACCCCACTGTGAGACTCGCCGCAGCAAAGAGAGGAGTCACTCACCAGGAGTTCAAGTGGCACGTAGTGGTGAATAAGCCCAAGGACATCACCACATTCCTCAAGCTCGCTGACCAATTCATCGAGACTGAAGAGGAAATGAATCAAAAATCCGAAGCTCCAGCAGAGAAGAGGAGGAGAGACGATGACAGGACGCACCATGGAAGCGGCAAGAGGAAGAAGAGCAAGTCCCCGACCAGGAGAGACAGCAAGTCAGGTTGGTACCCCCGAACTCCTCCAGATGAGAGGACGAGTTACACCCCCCTCAACGCAAGGCAAGGGGAAATTCTTATGACAATTAAAGACGCATCGTTTGTAAAGTGGCCACCCCGGATGAAGGGGGACCCCGTTACTAGGAATAAGAATGTATATTGTCATTTCCATAGAGATCACGGTCATAGTACCAAAAATTATAAAAGCCTCCGCGACGAGATTGAGGAACTCATCCGTCGCGGATACTTAAAAAATTTTGTACAAAAAAGTAATAAAAATCAGATAGATCGACAAGGGGAGCAGAGGAGAGATGCTCCTGAGTCTAGTAGCAGACAGAATGAGCAGGGACAACCGCCCGAGGAAAGACCAGTCCGAGTTGTGATCAACACGATTATCGGCGGTCCATCGTCGCAGGCTGCACCTCAGCAGCAGGGAAGACCTCAGTCTGCGAACTGGATCATGAAAGATAGAACCCGCCGAAACGCCCACAGCCCGCAGACCCCATATCTTTTACCGAGGATGATGCGCAAGGAGTCCAGTATCCTCACGATGACGCGCTGGTCATAATGATGAAGATCAATGACTTTGAAGTCAGACGCGTCTTGGTGGATTCGGGAAGTTCGGCCGACATATTGTTCAGGAGCACCTTCGACAAGCTGCAGGTCCGAGAGAGCGACCTCGAGCCCGCAAATTTCCCTCTAGTGGGCTTCAGTGGAGAAGAATTTAGCCCCCTTGGTCAGATCTCGTTAGCTGTAGAGGTCGGAACGTGGCCCAGCATTGCGAGGTTTGAACACGCCTTCCTAGTAGTTGCAACGCCTTCCCTATACAATGCCATTATAGGACAACCCATCACCCACGCGCTTCACGTGGTGGTATCAACATACTACCTGACAATGAAGTTCCCCACGAATTTCGGGATAGGGGTAGCCCGGGGCGACCAACTCGAGTCCCGGAAGTGTTATGTTGCGGCCCTCAAAGGGAAAGCCAAGTTAGCGGAAAGCATTGAGCTCGAACGACCCGTAGAGTATTCTGAAGAGCGAGCTACACTGACCGAGGGAACGGTCCTCGTCCCGACTTCAGAAGATGATCCGACCAAGAAACTCCAGATCGGGACAGCAGTCGAGGAACCTCTTCGAACTCAACTGGTAAGTTTCCTACTCAAGAATTTATACATATTTGCATGGCCTGCGGCAGAAATGCCCGGCATAGACTCAAAGATAATAACTCACAAGCTAAACACTGATCCCCTAGTCAGGCCCATTAGACAAAAGAAACGCAACCTCGCCCCGAAGCGCTGAAGGATAGTCGACGAGGAGGTCGGGAAACTTCTCGCAGCCGATTTCATCAGGGTGGTCCATTACCCGAGATGGGTAGCTAACCCCGTTCTGGTAAAAAAGGCCAACGGTAAATGTCAC